TGGGGTGGGGGGTCCCAAGGGGAGGGAGTTTGTTTCCGAGGAAAGTAAAGATTAAAGGGAATTAAACAAAACTGAGGTGGGCTGAGGGAGGAAGACGCGGAGCAGATGGTGAGAAGCGGGGAAGCAGGGAGACCGGCACAAAAGCGTTGAAAACCGTGGAGGAGAGAGGAGAGAAACGGCAGGAGGGGAGCGCAGGGAAAGGCAGCGTGGGGGAGGCAGACAGGGCGCAGCGGGAAACCAAAACACCCCAGGCCCTGGCATGGGCTCCTGTGTTTGCCCAGCCTGCTGGGACATCCTTCTGCCCAGATCTCACCAGCATCTTTGTTCCTGAGAGCTCAGTTTGCTGCCGAGATCCAGAACAGGGAGGAAACCTGAGAGTTATCTCAGTGGAGAGCCTGACCGGAGGGAGAAGGTGCAGCCACACCGACTTCTCCCCCTCCAGTGCAGCTGGCACCCTGCGAGCCCCTGGGGCCGTGGCTCCAAGCTTCCTTAGCCAAGGACTCAGCCCTTTTGGGGGCCGCATTGAGGTGCAGGGCTCTGCCCTGGGTTGGGGGGAGAGGAGACCCTCCAAGCAGCAGGCAAAGACCTGCAGCATGTCCCTGTTCCCTCGCGCAGACGGGATCCACAGCGTGACGGCCCAGTGTGTCCTGCGCGTGATCATCATCACGGAGGAGATGTTGGCCAACAGCATCACGGTGCGGCTGGAGAACATGTGGCAGGAGCGCTTCCTCTCCCCGCTGCTGTCCACCTTCCTGGAAGGGGTGGCCACCGTGCTTGCAACGCCCAAGGAGGACATCTTCATCTTCAACATCCAGAACGACACGGACGTGGGCGGCACGGTGCTCAACGTCAGCTTCTCGGCCCTGGCGCCGCGGGGCGGGCGCTACTTCAGCTCGGAGGAGCTGCAGGAGCAGCTGTACATGAAGCGCATGGCACTGACGGGTGCCTCCATGCTGGAGGTGCTGCCCTTCGACGACAACGTCTGCCTGCGGGAGCCCTGCCAGAACTACATGAAGTGCATCTCCGTCCTCAAGTTCGACAGCTCGGCCCCCTTCATCGCCTCCCCCTCCACCCTCTTTCGGCCCATCCACCCCATCACTGGCCTGCGGTGCCGCTGCCCACAGGGCTTCACTGGGGACTACTGCGAAACGGAGATCAACCTCTGCTACTCCAACCCCTGCCGGAATGGCGGGATCTGGTCACCATGCCGGGTGCTCTTCCCGGCAGGGTGGCGGGTGGCGGAGCCCCTCTGCCCGCAGAGGTCCTGGCTCTCTATGTTTCCATGGTGCTGGATGTGCAGGGCTGAGGTTGCCATAGAAATCTGTCTTGCAGGAAGGTGGCATGGAGGGCTCGTGGGGAGCCTGGCCACCACCTCCAGCCTTTTTTACAGAGCGGGAGGACCAAGCTGGACTGTGCCAGGCGGGGGCACAGGGCACTCCTCTGCCCTGCCCCACACCGGCAGGACGATGGGCTCTGGGACCATCAGAGGTGCTGGTTTCAGCCTGTGCCAGTCTTCAGCTGGTCTGGCAGCAGTGGCCCACGTGTGGTGGGTGAGCTGCTCCCCTGCCAGACAGAATCCACTCCAGGCAGATCTGGTCCTGGCGGTGGGGGGAATCCCTGAGCTCGCCAGTGTCTTGCTGCCACAAGCCCTCGACAGGCTGTGGAGACCTGTGCCCGGCCACTGGCAACCTGGGGCTGAGGGAAGGTGGCCTGTGCCTGCTGGGGAGGGAGCGCGGCAGCAGATGGCTGCCTCAGAGCTGCTCTCCTGTCAGTGGCTCCTGGTGAGATAAGCAGTCAGTGGTAATTAACCCCCAGCATTTGAAGCATGAACAGCCATTAGCAGAAGGGTTAATGAGCTCATTTCCTTGTCACTTCATGTTGTCTCCTCATCCTCCTTGCATGCCACAGAGCAAGTAATGGGAGCAGGGCCTGGGGCGTAGGGCTGCAGCTGAGCGGTTCCCTGCGTGCTGGAGGGACAGCATGGGAAGAGGGGCCGGCCAGACCCCCTGCACTGCACTGCTGAGCTGGCTTGTGGCATCCCGGTTAGCAACGCCAGCAAGGTGCGACGGTGTTTGGTGTCCTCATCTGGCTGGTTTCCACCTGGCTTTTGCTCTGACATCAGAGCTTGCCTGCAGGGTTAGAAGGCTACTGATGCTGTGGGTCAGACTTCCGTAGCTATTGGCAGGGGACCTCAGTGGTGCTGGGCTGTCCCCACACCCTGGAGCCGGGACTGCGGTGCCTGTCTCAGACCTGTGCAGTGGGTGCTCAAGGAGGCACTCTCAGCATTGCCAGGACTTCCCTGGCGTGTCCTTGGCTCTTCGTCCTTGGGACTGTGCAGCCTGGCTGTGGCCAGTCCTCTCCTGTTCCATTCCCATACCATCCTGGGTCCAAACTTGTCCCTTCAGCTGGAGCTGGCATCCCACCCAGCCCACTGGCTTGGGCTGCAGGGCTGGTGGTGGTCGCTAGCTTGCTGGCTACTGTGAGGAACACCTGGGTGACACCTGCGTTGTCACGTCCTTCACCTGTTCCCAGCCGCCCCACAAACTCCTGCCTCTTGGCTGCCCTGCCCCAAACC